GTAATAAGAAAATCAATGTAAGGTATCCAAGTTATATGGTTAATGTTAGGTTGGATGTATATGAACTCCAACAAGTATGAAAGTTGTGATGATAATGATATCAAATGAATGATAAGAAATGTTGTGAGGTAGCCGTTCCCCCAAATAATCACCTGAGCTGTACGGAGCGGGATCTCCTTCCGCGGGGAGTCTTGGGATTACTTCTGGTGGCTGCGGGCTAGCTACCCAAGGTCATTAGCGAGGGGCCAGGACACGAGCTACGGGTTCCAACAAGTCAAGTAATAAGAAAAGAAGAAAGAATGATGAATGAGGAAATCTTTTAGATTTCGTTACATGATGTTGTGTTTTACATGAAATGAATATGTATGTGAATATGCTATGTGTATGGAGTATTCAAGCTCATGTATCTAATCATGGCTAGCTAAGATTCCCTAAACGTTTTTAGTGGATAAAATGGTGACTTACTAAACATTATTGCTCACCAGACTTCTATTTTCCCGTATTCTCATGTATAGGTAATGAACGAGGTACACAAGCCTGAGAGAATGTATGGAGCCGGTGACAAGGTTTTGGATGGGTTAACGGAGAAGATCGGGCTATCATTTATGTTGTGGTTTTAGTACATTGGTACTTCAAAGGGTTGTTAAACGTTTTTTAAAATCCTGATCAGGTGTAATGGGTTTACAATTGTTTTATTTTGGATGTGTTTCGTTATGTTTGCATCGTTTGATTTGTTCTAAAAGAAATAAAGTCTTATATCGAGGCTTTGTATCTTTATTTCTGCTTGATTTATCGAGTTTCTTTTTATGTTGAGTATGGTAATGGCCGTTTGGGGACGATCGTTACAAATAATAACAGATCTGAGTTATAACTTACAGATCTTCCAGCCTAACGGTGATAATCCTTGACCTTTGGTTTCCACGTGATTTCTCCTTTCCGAAAGAACGGTTAGATCTCCCTAAGAGAAAGGTTAGGAAATTTCTTCGCAAGGAAATAAACTGGTAATATTGATTCTGAAAACTAGTCTCTAATTATGAAGGAGGAAGATGTATTTATACTAGTTCTAAACTAGTTTCCTAATCACAATGAAAGTCTTTCTAATTAATGAGTTCTAAACCTGCTAGGACCAATACTCCTAATCAATTAAATATATAGATAAAACAAAACAAAATCATAATAATAATAATCATAATTGAGATGTGGCTGCACGCCACTTTCTGATTATTATATATTAATATTTATTTTATTTACTTTTCTTTTAATTCCAAATTACAAAAGAAAATATCTACTTTATTTAATAATAAATACATCTCATTTAAGTATGATAAATCTAATTTATCTTACTTAATTAATTCTATCAAATAGAACTCTCCCCAAATTTCATGAATTAAATATGTCTAATCTAATTAATATTTAATCCATTTTCAGTATTATGAATTAAATATTATTTAATCCAATTAATAATATTTAATTCCTTCTAACAATTCAATCGGAAGGTATAATCAGTTGTTGTGTGACCCATAGGGCCTTATATATTAAGCACTAATCAAATTAAGGTCTTAACGAATCCTTAGACGATTCTCCAGACAAACTTAATATATAAAGACGTTTGTGAGGACTATACAAACTCCCTGTAATATAGAGCTCATAGCGATACGGTCCTTTCATTCAGCGAACATTCAACTAAGTCTAGAACTTGATATTGTGTCTATTCCAATAACTTAGTCTCTATCTCTCAATCTTTCTAGATGATATATATTGATCATATTCGATATCCAAAACGAATATATTTTTGCATTGGCCAATGACTTTATGATCCATCTAGTTATATGAGAAGTAGAATATTCTCTCTTAATTTATTATGAAGAATGAATTATTTCTTGGCTCAACTACTACTCCATGTGCTTCGTGATGCACCAACACATGCCGTATTTACCCCGATTGGAGTGCAGGCGTTGGTCATGGTCAAAGTACATCACTCCGCACATGTGGTACGTATTGACCTCAAGTTGGAGGACTATTACACTACTCCATACGTCGATAATCCCATTGACACATGAGTGGAACTTATCAAATGGTTTCTCGGTGGGCATGTCAATATTCTCTAAAATATCTATGTGACCATCATGAATTACAGGAACTCATAGTTGTGAGATCAACTATACCTTCTAAAAGTATGATGCAGTCCACATACCAATCTTATCGCATATCATCAATATCTCATTCTTGATGATCATTGATTGAGGCTATTTCAGGACCTTATGTTATATCATATAAACTCCCACTTACTTATTGACAACATAAGTCCAAGAGAACACAATTATGAATAAGATATTGACAATCAAAATACTTAATCATCAATGTGTAATACCGTATATATCAAATATATAAAACTGAATGTGATCAAGTACATATATCTAAAAAGTGATTGTCGCTAGGACATATATACTAACAGTACGCAACCTTACCTCTGTACTAAAGTATAGAGGCTAAAGTACAGAGAGACTCTTTTCGGATGACTCATAATCAATTTCAATAATTACGAAGAAAAAATTATATATTCGGAAGCTATTTTCAAAGTTACATAAAGTGGTAAAATCCAAATTAGAATACAATAAAAAATTTGAAATGCTAAATAAGTCAATAATATGAAACTGTTTTATTAATCAAGAAAAAATTGATTTTGTAAATCATTTTGTGATGAATAGAGTATAGTTTTGCGAAATTTATAAATTTTGTACTTTTGTACTTTTGTAATTGTATTTTTGTAAATCAACGGGTAGCAGGTCCACCCGGCCCGTGGACCGGTTCACAAAATAGAGTAAATCAATTTGTACTTTTGTAATTGTATTTTTAAAAAAGTAAATTTTCATATGTTTGCATGTTATAAATGCTTGCTTATATAAATATATTAAAGGCTTTATTTCTACCGATATAGTATTACACTAATTCACTGTTTTGTTATTTATAATTGATTAAATTATTACTGTAGGACGGTATTTCTTACACTTTGAATTCGATCAAAATTCAAATAATATTGTTGGTGTGGAAGTGGAACATTTATTCTTTAAATTAGATTTAACTAAAGTATATTAAATTGCTTAATTTCAGTACAATGTATATATATTTAATTTGTATTCATAATATAAAAATTATAAAAAAAATTAATACGGACCTAGACTAGACCAGATGGTTACCGACTCAGAACCGAAATAACCGGTACTGTTTTTTATAAACCCTAGGACGCGGATCCAGACTAGGTTAACTATATTTGGGTTTTCTGATCTGAATCTTTCTAGTCTGATCTGAATTTTTCATTTCCGATCTAATCTTAATAAAATAAGAATAATAAATAAGTAATGAAAATAAGATGAATAGAACAACCTCTTAATAGGGAAGTGGTGTGTGTCTTTCAAAAGCGCAATTACCCCCTCCGTCCCGCTAATATTTTCTCATTTTACCTTTTCGGAATACCTCCATATAATTGTCTCACACCAAATTTGGTAAAGTTTATATGCTTATAAATCATTCTTACTTTATTCTTACTTTATCAATTCAATATCAACCGTATAAACTCTTTTTTCTTAATAAAGGTACCACTCCTTGCATCTCAATCATAATGTGATGGAGGTAGTGGATATGACGCTTTTTTTTTTCTCCGCGTCCAGTTATCCAAGTGGTGCACTCGCCATTGTTCTAATTAAAGCTGTATAAATCGATGTGGACCATGAGCACATTGCACATCAACAATGTGAATTGTAAAATCTATTTTAGAAATGTGAAACCTTCCGCCAGTGTTCACATAATAATGATATATTGCTATGTGATGTTTTCACTTAAAAGTCTCTTATCTATTTGAAGTATCGTCTAGTAAAAAAGTTTGGTATATGTTCAGTTTATTACTCCTTATAATTTAAGTCTAATATGATTTATTTAAGTGTAATATATTTAACTTAAATATTAGTATGTACGATGTATAATATAAATACGGAAAACGTATTAATTATGTCCTCCAACTATGTATAGAAAGTCAATTAAGTCCCTCTACATTGACATTGATAACAGTGGCGTATTGTTAAATTCCACACCGGAAATGTTTATGTAAACGAATTGCTATATTAAGACATGAGCTATTCCTCCTATCAGGTTGATCTTTTAGGATGGAACCACGAGTCTTAACATGGTATTAGAGCCAAATCGACCCATGATGTGAGCCCAAAAATGATTGACATGATTATAAAAAAATGACAATGACGAATTGACGAAAAAAATGAATGATGGCGCGATGCAGACGAAGAGTCTGGTCGGTGAGGAGGGGTGTTAAATCCCACACTGGAAATGTTTCAGTCAATGAAGTGCTATATTAAGACATGAGCTAGTCCTATCAGGTTGATTTTTTATGATGGAACTCTCTATCTTTAACACGTATCAACTATGGGGGGTAGTGGAGGCAATTACTACGCCCCTTAACCTCAACTCAGCAACTATATTCTATAATTTTGTAGAAAATTCTCATAATAAGAATTAGACATAGGAACAATGCTAAAGTAGGATGAAGAGTGCATGCTTTTTTTCGTAAATATAGGAGTTATGTTATCCTACTAGAAGAATAAAAAGATAAAAAGCTCACTAAATTTTGTTATGTTTAACATCTATTGAGATGGTTTTCTCAAACTTTATCTACAATTGCTCCTTTAGTTTACACACACGTAATATAAACTGATCTTCTTTTTATACATACTTGTACATACATACATACATACATACATACATACATACATACATACATACATACATACATATACATACATACATACATATATATATATATATATATATAGAGAGAGAGAGAGAGAGAGAGAGAGAAAAGATCCCATGAGAAGTCCATCTTAGGCTGAAAAATGAGAAGTATCTTGAACCGTCCGATCTAGGCCTCTGGACCATTCGATAGACCAAAACTCCCGTTCTTCATTAATGGCAACTTCGTAAATTACATTAAGTTTATGCCTTTCATATCTAACAAATAAAATCTTCTTTCAACGATCCTTGTTGGTCTCTTCGTTCTCTCTTCCTCAATGAGCTCTCCAATTCCAGTTCGACCTTCTTTAGATCAATTCCATGGCGGAACATTGGTGCGTCTAGCGAGTGCAGCACCGTACAAGACTAATTCTTAGTGATGAAGATTGGCCATCGGAGAGATCGAATCTACGAACTTAGTGGTAAAGATTTCTGTATCTATGTCTGGTGCCCTGAACTTGACTTCTTCCCTAAAATCTCTAATCCACTTCTTCATTTACATCTCCATTAATCTGAAATTTAGTTTTGTTTTTTGTGAATCTGAAATTTTGATATGATACGAAGTATTTGCTTATTGAAATGATATCTTTCTAGTAAAAAGTTTTTTCCCTTATTTTTTTCTTCTTGATTTGTTATCATATCTGGATCTAATCTATATATTTGGCTGGACATTGGTAGTAAAAGATATTCCATTTTAGCCTATCCTTTATTGAGCTTTTCTTAAATATAGAATGAATTTTTGGTATGCCTATCAAGTGTTTGCTAAAATGTTTAAATGATAATGTGCTTCATTTGAGAGCTGAGTATAATTTTATTAATAACAAATGCAACTCATAGGCTAATTTCTTGTTGAAACTTTGTCTATTAAGTTACACCTTTATCAGCTAATACTTCAACTTCTGTATAATGTACATGTGTTAACATTTAACACATGGTAGGAAAGCTAGGCAACGCTAGGAGTATAGTGATGGATCCTCGCTGCAAAACCTCTATTCCCAGAGTTGGTACTAATGCGCTACTCTTCAAAATATAAATTCTGATGAACATTTGAGGGAGAAATCTGTGTTTTCAATTGAGAGACTTTTTTTACTTTAGTTCATCTTCTACTTGCTATAAAGATCCAATGATTGAACTTGGATTTTAGTTGTAATTCTAGTGTATTTTTTTTATTTCTAATGCAAATGATCAATTATGAGTTCTGAACAAAAGTAATGTCTTTTGAGTTAACAGTTATAACAATTTGAGTAAAAGTTGTGCATTGACACTTAATCTCAACTTACAAGCATTAGTCATAATTCCTTAGTTCATTTTTTCATATTAAAAGGCCCACTCATTCTTTTACAAATTACCGATAGTTCTTGATTACATCACTGATTTTTTTCTTTGTTTTTTGTTTTGTGATGCTGAATGCTCTTTTTGGTGGTACTTGTAATATATCAAGGCTATTAGCTCAAGTGGCAGAGCAATGTGCAAATATGCACAAAGATGCAGGTTCGAGTCCCGCATAGCCTATATTATTACCACATAAGATGATAATAATTTGTGAGAACCTGAAGTTCACTTTTGCTTGTGAAACTTCTTGTTACTTTGAAATTTTATTTATAAAAAATATAAAATTTATCAATTCTATTTTCTAAGCACTTGAAAGTACTTTAAAAGCAGTATTCTTTTTCAATGGAAATCAAAATTTTCATTCCTAGGGCAGTACTTGCGAAGACAATAGAAGTACTGGTGTAATACAATGGGAAACAATTGAATACAGTGACAGTAGTTAGGACGAGATGTGTGTGATGTGTAATGTCTAGTGTAATTCATAGCGTAGGTGAGGCAGACAAAGGACAAACCTTGAAAAACAGGTGGTTTACATGGGAGTAAAGTGGGTTTCAATTTTCAGGGTGGGGGTTGATGAGAGTCTGAGCAGACTGAGACGGCCAACTGTGTTTCATGGCACTACTGGCGCTTGAGGGCGGGGCCGCCACTAGAGCAAAGGCTGCGTACGGCGGCAGACTCGGCGGGACATGCCTCCGCCACAAGACACTGTGCCAACGATCGATTCAGGTGGCGGCATGCCAGGCCACCACGGACCGGCGGTGGCAATTCGTCAAGGCTATATATAGCTGATAAGCTGATTGTGTTTGTTCACGTTAAACTTGTTCTAGGCACTTGAACTGGCATGTGGATAACCTTGTTTGTGCAAACAAGTTGTGGTGACCAGTCTGCATTTTTTCATGAGTTTTCATCTACTTTGCAAGTGCTACTTTTTTCTTGCCTTTTCTTCTTTTTCCCCCACCGTAAGTGCTTCTTTTTTCCCTTTCAAACTGGTTGCCTTTTTTCTTATATTGCATCCACAATACTTCATTTCTTATCATTTGAAGCTACCAAAGCGGCTAGTCCAATGCTAGGGAAGTATTACAGAGAGCACAAGAAACCTGGGTTTATACAATTCCATCTCGTCCCCATTTTGGTGAAGAGCATGAGTGAAGATCACTATGTTAGTGATGAAGGAGAGATTGTTTTCTATCAGACTGATCCCCAGCTAAGTTCCATAAAGAAGCAGTAGAAGACAGCTTGATAAAGATTAAATTTAAAATTAGCTATTATGTTTTGTATTAGTGTTAAACTTATTCCATGGAGTCCTACTACTACTACTGCTACTAATACTCTAGTGGGATGAAAAAAGGTCTACACAAATGGGCTTTTTTGTTATAAAAAAAACTAATGCTAGTCAGACCATGATTGATGGGCTTTTTTGTTATAAAAAAAAACTAATGCTAATCAAACCACAATTGATTTCTGCTGCTACTATCAATGGTGTGACCTAGAAGCTTTAAAGTGCAGAAGTTTTTGTAGTCTTCAGAATCGGGCTGGGTGAAACCATCATTTTTTAGGATCATAGACTTTGAATTAGGAACATTTCCTCCAGTGAGTAGAAACCTGTTGTGGATCTTCTTCTCTGGGGTTACTAAGATCAACTGCATTAATATCTTCCATCATATACTTACCTAACTTAAACATGGACCAAATCTAACAAACACATATGCATAATCTATCAGGTTCTACAATTAAAATAAATGGAACACCTACATGAAATTAAAGTTGGGAAACAATTAATCAATCCACTTATTGAGATAGCCTATGTGGGATTCGAACTCACATTTTTCGTGTGGTCACACGATGCTCTTCCAATTGAGCTAATAGGCTGTAAGAAAAATATGTAATTTTCCATCTTAAAAAGTAATCACATTATGTTTAAAAGTTGACCATTTTGATCTATTGGTTATTTTACTTATCATGGCTCTAAAATTGCTAACACTTATAAGTTGTTGATTTTGATTTGTAACTTGTCATTTTAAAAAAAAATAGAACTGGTATTATAAAAGGTTTATTCTGTATCAAGTTGCTGTAACTTTTAAGATGAATTAGAGTGCAAGAACGTATTCAAATTAGGACTCCAGAAAATATTTTTGCATGATGCGTACATGTGTTATAGTTTCACCTTGTTCAATTCACAAACATACCTCCAAAAGTAGATTAGACACATACTAATATAACAAAACCAATAACTTTTATACAGTATAACATAACTTGTAAGTTAACCACCAGAAAATATTAGTTAAAAGTATCACAATCAGCAAGAGAAGGAATGCAAAATTATACAATAGCAAGTAACTTTTGAATCATAAATATATACTATAAAATGAAAAGTAATGAAAATTATAAAAAAAGGAAATTACCAAATTATTACCATGTTGACCATCATTATGTAGATCATTCTCATTTTGCTTCACTATCTCATACATACTTGTTGTCCTCATCTATAAAAGTAAAAAGAACCATTTTTAGAATACACAAACAAATTAGAATCATAACTTTTAACAGGAAATTCTCAACTTATAAAATATATGTAGTATCTTTTAATAAAACATTCATAACCTTTAATAAAATATTCATAACTTTTAATAAAATGTTCATAACTTTTAACATAAATAGGTGCACTCTCATTCGTAACTGTAAATCCTTACTAACAATTGTCAACATAGAGAAGACTGAAACAACAAATGCATCTACTCACATTTTCTTAATGCCACTAATAAATTAAATAATTTCTTCGTGTTGTTGCAAAAAAGTAATAAAGTAAATAATTATTTTATCATAAGTGTTTACAATCTATAATTCTATTTAGAGATGTTTAAGAAAGCATTACATTTACTCAAATACGTATAACTTGTAAGCCCGAAAACATAACTTTTATACCCAAAAGCTTAACTTTTACTAAAACTCTCAAGATCTCTAAAACCATGGATATAGCTTGTAATCTAAGAAGCATAACTTTTAAATCAAAAGGGATATCTTTTACTGAAAATGCTAACGCCACTAAAACTTAGAATCTTATATGTACTTTTCATAAAAACGTAATTTAAAAATTGCTATAACTTATAAGTAAAAACATGTAACTTTGTAATCAAAACGTACGACTTTTAGTAAAAACTTAACCAAAGCAGGATTACAATCCACCCAAACCTTCAATGACCAATCTCTGATAGCTGCAAATGATTCACCAGGGCTTGTGCAGGCTCCCTGAGCAATTTTTTTTTTGCAGGGTTTGCAGTTGACTTTTTCATGAGTGGAGTTTCTGTTAAAGCTTCCAAGACTGCAATTGTCCCTATTGAGCGAGTTAAACTTTTTATAGTTACAAAGGGTGCTGGACTGACTTCATACCCAATCAATACTTACTATATACGAAGTATATCAAAAGGTAGATATATATTTTCAAAGTCAAATATCTACACTTAAAATGAAAAACATTAACATAATTTTTTGTTGAGACATTTTTAACAAACAGATGGTGGGTGCAACTTAAAATCATTATCTATATATCAAACAAGACTGCATATAATACCAATACACATGGAAAACCACGTACTTACTCAAGATGACATGCATGATTAATTTTCTCTTATTTTTACAATTAGACACATATATAGTTTTCTACTTCTTCTTTTAAAATTCTAAAATAACCAAATTATATAATTCTTATAATTGCTTCTAACTTCATTATAACTGTCTTCAACAAACCTGGATGAAGATCTATCAGTTAACCTAAATCGGAGACTAGGAATGTATTTTGAAATTGGTTGAAACAAGTAAGAATTGAGTCAAAGTTTATCGAATTTCATCAAATTACCTTTGAAGTTGCAAGCCAAAGATCGTAGGAGATTTGCGGTTCATCGTTGTGAGATTGAACTGATGCACTTCATCGGAGGTTTTGCGGTTCACCATTGCGCGTTATTGCGATTATCTTCATTGCACGATTGCACTTCGCAGCAGTTATTAGGAAGGTGCTCTGTCTCCGCTTTAGTTGGCGTATAGAGATAAATTAGCGTATTCTAGAACGTCTTATTAGGTTAGCCTGAGCAGTTTTTGAATTGGACCCTTGATCAACTTTTGATCGGACAGTCCTCTTTACTTCTCATTTTTCAACCTTATGAAGCTTCTCACCAGATTCATTCTCTCTCTCTCTCTCTCTCTCTATATATATATATATATATATATATCTTAAATTAAGTCTAATCAAACATTATTAATAATGTGATTTACTATTAATAATGTGACAAAACTATTGTGTAAGTTCACCATCATCAACAAAATTTCTGGATACCCCACTGGTCCTTGAAGCATGTAAATGTCATCACATCCTATTTTTGGCAAGTAACTCACCAGTTAGTAGATTACGTGTGATGGAGTATATGGCAGACTATTCATCAACGTGCTAACGCAGCCAAACATGGTTTGACTCAAGGCGCACTCAGCCTGACGCGACGCACCTGTGGCAGCTCACATCACAATCTTTTTTCCCTTTTCCATTCCTACATTTTTTTCTTTTTCTTTCTTCTTTCATTCTCTTTCCCTATTCCCCCTTTCTTCCCTATGTAACCCCATTTCAGATATTTTTAATTGGACTGAATCTTATGGTCTAGACTGTTTAAGTCTGGTCTTGTCTTGTAAATGTCTAATCCATGTGTATTATAACTGTTGAAGTCCGATCTAGTCTATTTAAGTCTAGTTTGGTCTGGTTTGGTCAAGGATTGAAAATAAGTCCAAGTAAAACCATTTTTCTTCCTCCATGGCCTGAATTCATACGCAGGTCACTATCCATTACCTTCAATTCAGTGCACACGTTTTGTCCAGTGGTGTCCTACAGGGTGGTGGCGTGCTCGAAGGATGACACTTGACAGAAACCTCCATGAAGAAGGACACCACTCTCGACCGAAGAGGCTTATGCTCGCATGTGGATGGGGGCCCTAGGAGATTTGAATCAAGAGGTACTCTAGTCTACCATGTTCTGGCCGACGCCATAATCGTTGGCTCTGAACTTCTGCAATGAATGAATGGATTGAGGGAGGGTGTTGTGAAGTGAACAGGGTGCATTGAGGGAGGGTATTGGCCATAAAATGGTAGACTACACATAGGATTTGACGAAATTTACAAGCTTCGATCAGACGTAATTCATTCGTTGAAAGGTTAGCTGCCAAAATAGGATTTGACGAAATTTACATGCTTCGAGGAAGTAATTTATGAAAGTTAAAGTAGAGGGACTTAGTTGACTTTTCGTACATAGTTTTTTTTTCTTTTGAAAAAAAAGTAGCTTATATTGAATAATCAGAATTCAGGCAAGATACATAAAGACAAAAAGTCCCTTTCCAACCATCTGCCCTCGAACCAGCTTTGAGTTTATTATCCCAAAAAAGTAATATGACTCGCTGATTGTATAATTGGCTTAACCGAGCCAATGACGTACACAATAGACCTTTCACCACTCAACCCAAACTCTAGAGTTCTGCTAGTAGAAACAAAGAAAACAACCAAAATAACATTCAGATCGAATCGAACAATAAAATTAAGAGCAAGATAATTAAAATAATTCTAAACTTGAAACATTATCTTCCAAGCCCTAATCACACGATTCCTGCACGGCGGCAGTTCAGAAAAGGGACGGACTGGCAATACTGCATCTTCTTCCTCTCCTTTCTACTTATTCACAACATTCTCTACTACTGAGTGATAAGTCCATATTTCAACACGCATTTGATGCGTGTTGGGATCGTCTTTTTCCAGTTTTCCCTAGCTTTAAGGGTTGTTAGTCTCAGTTTTAGCTAAAGTCACGTTAGGCAGGTGATGGATCGAGTTTTGCTATTTTTTGAGTTGAAATCAGGTCTTTTAGGGCCCGGTATCGGTGCTTGAGAAGTGATCGGTACGAGTTAAGAAGCATTCGAGAGTGAATATCAACCTTAATATTAAGAAAATCAATTAATTTCCCTAGAATCAACTCTAAATCAACAAACCCTAGCAAAATCCACAACCAAGAACTATAGATATAAATATAGAAGAAATGCTTTATGTAAAGTGTAAAATCTTACCAAGTGATGATTCGGGATGAATAAAAGACTTAGTTTGAGCCTGAATCAGTCTAGGTAGGATTTGGAAATGAGTTTGTAGAGAGGGGGTCGAGCTGGGCTTCGTTTTGGGGAAAAAAGGATTTTTCCCGTTTAAATACGCCGTACACCGACCTGGGCAAAAATCGCCCCGACCGGCGCCGGTTTGCCCCTGACCGGCGCCGGTTGTGCTGTGTTCTTGACGCCCCAAAGTTTCTGTTTTGGACCGGCGCCAGTCCGGGTCCAACCGGCGCCGGTTTGAGGCCAATTGGGTGCCGAAGACGTCATTTTTCGCCCTAAACCGACCCCGATTGTTACCGTTCACATCCTAGACCCGCGATGACATTTTAAAATATATTTTAA